AGAGAAAAATGTACTTTTTAGTTTTGTGTTATGTCTGAATAAGCCATTTAACTGTATTTGAACATAAGTTGCAATGTGTGATTTAATAATTCAATAGCATTCATGTGGGTTTATTTGTTTTGTCAACGGTTGCCGATTAGAATGAGATGAAGGAATTTAGGAGTTTTTCACAGTTGTAGAAGACTCACTACTTCGGACAATGCCAAACAATACGTCGATGCCCTTCGTGTAAACACGAATTTTGAAAATGTTTCGAGGTCGAACGGGATACTGAAAATAAAGGGCGATTGTTCTTCACATGTAATAACGACTGTGGATATTTCAAGTGTGTGAAAAAAGAAGATTTAAGCGGGGAATCGAGTACCGTTAATGAAGCGGTGAATCATGAGCCAAACGAGAAATATGAAGACTTGCCAAAAATATTTGACAGTCTAGCTCGAATAATCGAGAAACGAGACTCGACATATCATTGCACCTAACATTTCACAAGGGAAAAGGAATTGCCAAATGTGATGGGAAAGGAAAAGGATCGACTTGAATGGGTGATAGGAGTTACATTTGTGGTAGAAAGAGTACTATGATGTCAATTTGTATTTGCTATATGGTTTGTTGTAGCGTATGGACTTGTTGGTAATATTATTATTCCATTTGGAGCTTTACCATGCATGCACTCAAGTCATGTGTTGACCAATTAGACAAAAGTTCTTGTGTCCTCGTTCGATAACAATCCACAGCCAAGCAGTGTCGATTGTCCATGATGATTTACTCCAACAAAAGGGGCGAACAACATATACTTATTAGTGAGATACGTAGTATCAAAAGTGATGACATCACCAAATTCCTTGTAAGATTGCCTATATCTATTATCTGTCCAAAATACGTTCTTCAGTCGTAACTCATCGCCTAAATACACGCTGCAATAAAATCCCGAGTACCTTGCTTGCATATTTGAAAAGTACAGCTATATCATGATGGCATCTCCTTCTCCAAGCCATAATCGTCCGACTTGTTCGATATAATTCCTACAATCCTTCTTCGCAAGCGTCATATTTTCATATCCACCTGCTGCCACAACTGCGGAGTTAAAAATCTTGTGCAAAGGGATTCTTGCCATATCATTCACTTCAAGTTTTCGTTTCGCACTCGTAGTCAATTTTCGATTGCATTGAAAAAACCTAGACTTCGAAAGACTTGTTTTATGATTTTGGTCGAGGTACACTTTGTTAATTCTCCATATTCCATGACTATCTAAAAATGCAAAAATTCTTGCTTTATAATATGTCTGACTTATTGGTCGTGGCTTCAAAGAACCGCCTGTAGCATAACTTCTTCGACCTTCACGACTACATGTGAACGTGACATATCTCATAACTCTATCGTCTCCTTTTTTCGAATTTTGTTTCGTCACTAGAAAACCTATAGCGTAAGCATACCTTTTGTAGAAGTCGAACATTTCATTCTGACTATTAAATATCATACGTACCTCAGGCTCAATCGCAACATCTCCTCCTAAATTTTCATTGTCCAATGTGTTCAAATTGTCCATTGTGTTCGCGTGAACACATTCCATCAACAAATCACGATTCTCATCTTCCGTAAATTTTTTTCCTACAACGAAAATTCTAGTTTTGTTAGAAGTTGCAAATTATATGTAACTAAGTGCAAAACTCTGCATCTAACATTAATTAACATGCTTGACATGAAAAAAAATAGTATCACAAGTTACACAACTAAATCCGTATGACCGGTAATGCTATTTCTCTCCGGCTTTCTCATTATCACAAGGCCAACAAATTTCCTCCGATTCCAAAGATCATTCTTCTTTGTTTTATAAGAGAAATTTATTTATCCTTAAAATATGCTAGATTGAAAATCATCTAATTTGATGCTTCACATGATAATACGTAAATCCAATGAGAATACTATTTTATTCAAGTTGGAAAATTGCACAAATTTTAAACTCTAGAAACAACTTTGTACTGCAGTCCACAACTACTTTCTGGGTCTTTAAGAATGTCTTCCATTTACTCTACAAACACAGTTTACTGTTTGTTGTTAAAATGTCCTAGTGCTGACAGCTTAAACGTGTCGACTATTTATGTTTATGAGAATGGACTTTCTTGCTATGCTTCCTTTCCTAAAAGTTTCGCGTGAATGAATGGAATTCTTACAGGAGGGAATTCATATTTCTTACAAATTTACACCACCATCTTACAAGTTGCAATACAAGTTAAGTCCACAACTACTTTCTGGGTCTTTAAGAATGTCTTCCATTTACTCTACAAACACAGTTTACTGTTTGTTGTTAAAATGTCCTAGTGCTGACAGCTTAAACGTGTCGACTATTTATGTTTATGAGAATGGACTTTCTTGCTATGCTTCCTTTCCTAAAAGTTTCGTATGAATGAATGGAATTCTTACAGGAGGGAATTCATATTTCTTACAAATTTACACCACCATCTTACAAGTTGCAATACAAGTTCCATATCTATGATAAGATGGAATAAAGTAGCCAATGAAGAATATAGTTCAAGCAAGAAACCAACTTATGAGCTAACCTATTTAGAACCAAGAAGCAAAGTACCTTTGTCCGTTATCTAGGTTTAGGGCTGCCGTCTTCAAATACAATTTTGATGTCGGGTTTTGGCGTGCTTTCGTCTTCACAGTATGACTGAAGATGCGTGCCAGTCAATTAGCTAGATGTTGGCCAAAGTTGGAGAAGTGACTTTCGCCGGAGATCCAAACTCTGTGATTTGGGGGAAATGGTACAGAACATTGTCATATCACGATTTTGTTTAAGTCGAGCTGGTTTTGGTCAGCCCAGTTTTGGTTCAATATTTAAATTTGAATTCATGTATCAATTTTGTATTAATTTCATGTACCTGTAGGCTAATTGTTCCTTAGAACTCACACTTTATAAACACTTAAAGTAGTGTTGTGAATATCATCGAATCATATATGTCTACATCACAACTTTTGTCATTCACATTATTAAGTAGAATTTTTCAAATTCGAACCGTCCATTTCCTGCAAAGTAGACATGAATTTATTTAAAAATTCGGCCACATTTGGCAGTAGTTAGATAGACGTTTCGATGTTCCCACACCAAATTCCCCAGTAGAATAACAATGCCATCCATACCATGTGAACATATTAAATAATTCATTTCCCATTCACCAAGGATTTAAATATTGTGGACAGAATCTGCAATTGTTTTGATAATACAAAACATATTGAAATTTCTCTTGCCTTGATGGAAAAAGTCAAGGGGACATAGGAAAATAGAAAATGAGCTCTAAATCACAATTATTTGTTTGATCATCTAATTTGAAGTTTAAACTTTTTAAATTATAGTCATATATGTTTTTCATTAAATATGTAATACCTCTTAAGGGCATTGTGATGAAGCATTCACACCCCCGAGTTGGAAACAATTGGCCCACCCGTAGAAAAACAATTCAAGAAAAAGAAAAAGAAAAAGAATGATTAGGGAAGATATCTGTATGTGGTTGATATTAGTAGGCGAATAGCTAGAACATGATGGCTTTTATAACTATTTCGTCCAAAATTTCATCGAGGAGCTGTAAAATGACTTACTACTCAAATAATAAATAAAATTCTCTCTTAATTTCAAAATATGAAAATAAAATATTTTGATAGAAACCATCATCAAGACGAAACATGCTAATTAATGAAAAAGTTAAAAATAAGAGTTTAACTAAAAAATAGATACAGACATAAGTTTTATGCTAAACATTTTGAGGACCTTACGTACAATTAAAGTGTAATACAATAAATAAAAGATAAATGTATTCACATTGTAGTTTTTGATAACTAGATTACATTTTAATTGTATTAAAGGTTCATAATCTTTACATATTATCACGTTTATGTCTCAACCCTTTTTCTTTGCATTCTTATTCTCAAATTAGCATAAATTGTTTCTAATTATGGTTTATTTCCAAAATCTTCTTTAACATAGAATAAAAATACTCATTTGTCCCCATTGTATTTTTAAATAAGCAAATTAAATAATAATACAAAAATATGATTAAATATTTTATTCTCATTTTAAAGCACGTTAACAATATTTTTACACAAAAATTATGATTAGGACAAGATTTTCCAATCAATCAAATATTAAAAGTAAGTATGTGATGAAGAAAAAAGTTAAAGATATAAATGTAATAATGAATAAAGGTTAGTGACATTTAATGTAATTAAAATATGACATATTTATAAAAACAATGTAGTGAAAATATTGTTACCCATTTGTTTTTAGCCTCTGTTTGACAACTATTATTTAAAAAAAAAAAAAATTCCACATATTCATTTCAATCATACATCCACACAATTAAATATTATGCATATAATTTTAAAAAAATTTCCTACTTATTGATCACACATTTTTAAAAAAAATACTATTCAAAACTTTATTTTCCAGAATTATCCCATATTTGGCCCCTAATAAAAATTGATTATTCCAAAATATAGCCCCTGATTGGTAGGGATTAAAATCAATTTTTTAGTAAATTTTGATAAAAGTTGATCAAATGCGTTGTTGAAAACTTGTAAAACTCATAAAATATGTACTTAAAATTGATTGTTGATTTTAACGTAAATTAAAATCTAAATTTTTTCCAAAACTCATTATAATGGGGGCCAAACAAGCGATAATGATTGTCAAACTGGGGCATATAAACAAGAGTAATGTTATTCATCCCCAACATTACTCTATAAACAAATGCCCCTAAAAAGATGACAGCTTGGCAGGCTAGTTCCAAGAAAGAGCTGAGCAATTGCAGATTGCAAGAACCAAATCCGACCAGCAAAAACTGTCTGTACATTGGCTGGCATCCATTCTTGAACCTCTACTCTTTCCTTGAAATTGTCCTTTTCCCTTTGATGTTATATAAAACCCTCATGTCCCTTCATTATTCTTCATTCTGTACTTAATTATATCTCAAAAAAAAAAAAAAGAAAGAAGAAAAAAAAAGGCAATGGCAGAAACAAAGATGAATGATTTTGAAGATATGTTACCTGTGATGGCAAAAAAGCTCGGTGGCGAGGGCCTAATAAGGGAATTATGCAATGGTTTTATTCTTTTGATGGATAGAGAAAAAGGGCTCATCACATTTGATAGCCTGAAGAAGAATTCAGCTTTTCTTGGATTACAAGATTTGAGAGATGATGAGTTGAAGAGTATGGTTAAAGAAGGCGATATGAATGGGGATGGAGGGCTCGACCAGATGGAATTTTGCGTGCTGATGTTTAGATTGAGCCCCGAATTGATGCAGAAATCCGAAGATTGGCTCGAGTATGCTATGCAGCAGGAGTTGAAGACGGCTAGTTTTGACAGAAAATGAATTTGGAAGCTGCTGTTTAATCTGATTCTTGGACAGGGATTATTAAATGGCAAAATGAATAAAAAGATGCTACTGGATGGCATTGAGAAAATTTTAGTTGTCATTATCGTCTTTTTTATTGATATTTATTGACAGATTTATGTTAAGCCAATTGATGGAAAAGAAAGAATATCATAACATGTATGAATCCATTGTGCATATGATGAAATGGCATTTCATTTTATTTTTGTTTGTTTTGTTTTAACGTTGGATAGAATACAGAAGATTAGCATGGCCCTGCACAAGGATGACACACAAATTGAGAGATTCTTTGCCGGCATTAAAAAATTAATGACAAACTTAAAAAGATATAATTAGAAGAGTAAAGCCATTGAGCCCAATGACCGGGACAAATGATAGGGCGCCACCTCGGCCCCTATGTTTGGGCTCGGTCATTGAGCCGGGCCCAATAGCACTGTTGTAATTAGAAAGATATGTTTTTGCTTCTTTCCTACGTATAGAGTTCAACATCTCGTTCTGATAAAGAATTTGTTGGATATTCAAAAGGAATGATGCCACAAGTTTTGAGATGGTAGATGGAAAATTTACTATCTACAAATGAGTTTTGGGCTTATCTAAATGAATATTAAAATCCAAGCTCGATGATTTTGTTACACCTATAAATTACGTGACATGAACATGATGGAGGGGTTTCACATATGCTGACTTGGCATCAATTATGCAATTGGATTGGACATATTTAGCTACACGGCATTGTAATGGGCCTGTACTCGATCCATTAACCACTTGGCCAATTTTTATTTCTCCATATATACGTGACTTCACTTCACAAAAGGTATTATTCTAACCCTAGCCATACTCCCTTTTCCCTTTTTTGCACTCTTTATATTTTGTTTGACATTTGACTTGATCGTCGGAGTGCAAATGGTCATCGGACCTTTTTCTCTACCAACAGTCTTTGCTTTCTAACGGAGCGTTCCAATGTGTAGGTGATGTCTACGTGGAGGAGACTTGGTTGAGATTCCGTTTGCGCATTTTTTGTGGTTAATAGATTGGTGTTGTCTGTGGAAAATCGGTACATTAGCCATATTCTACCACGTATAAAAAAGTCACTAGAAAACAATAATATTCCGGCCAATTTATTCAACAAGATAGAGAGGTCGGCCACAAGACAGAACACTTGGAAGATGAACTTTTGGTCTTGGTTCTAAGGAAAAATAAAACAAGAAAGTCATTGTTATTCTAATGGAGACACAGAAAATGATCCCCGCTGGATGCACAATAAAGGAGCCAACAAAAATCTGTTTTTTAGTAAACAACGAATGGATTTACAAAAAGGAATTTTCGACAAGGATATTGGCCATGAAAATGGTTAATGGAAGCTGCTCTTACAGCTGCTAAATTGAAAAATGGAAGCCCCAAAGAGCCATGAGTGAAGAAGGGGGAGTGATTCATCTTGCCCGAACACATCGATACCCACTTGTGCTTTTTGCTATTTTTAAACTTTGGAATCAAAATGGGGGTAAATCTTCAATCTTTTATGAATAGAGGTGCAAATAATTTCACTTAGGGATGTTCCCGGTTTAAAGGCTAGATAATGCTTGAAAACTTCAACTTTATCATTTTTCTTGGATAAATTTTGCCAAACTCTCTCATTGCATGATTTTTCTATCGAAACCTCTTGGATAAAATTTTACTCTGGTGACCACCATTGAGGTAGACAACCGTGCGCTTAGAGAAGTGACAGACGTAAACATTTTGAGTTATGGGGCACAATTAAACTTACAAAAAAGTTGTGAAAATTATAAAAGCATATGATAAATATATGGACAACAAGCAAGTCCAGAGAGAGAAATATATGATGAAAAGCTATGTTAATTCAAGCCATCGACAGTTTCAAACTAATGCTTAACTAAATAAGTTATAATATTTCCTCGATGTTTTTCATTGTAAATTATTTTTTATATTTTCTTAATCTACAAAGCACAGAATTAGGATGGTCCTAGAACCAATATTTAGATTTGGGATGCCCTTGAAACCCATCTTTGTTAATTTACCTTCGATTGCAAGTATTCAATAATAACAAAATAACCTTATGATTGGTTCTCTCTTTGGCTAATTTTCTAACCTGATGCTTCAATTTCAATTGAAAACTTTGAAATGATTTAACCTCTCTGGCAAGAAGTATAACACAAGTCCAACTTTTCATGATGCAAGCTCTCAAGCTACTCCACTTTTATATAAAGGAGGAATAGACAAAAATCACAAGAAAAATTAAAACCTACCAAATTTAGGGGATAAGAGAACTATGTCACCAATCCATCCCCTCCCATCCACAATTACACTAGAACTTATCCCACAACTTATCAGAAAAGACTTTCTCTGAACTTCCAATCTCCGTAAATTTGAAAATAATCACCAGCCACAATGCCCAACAACCCCATGGCTTGGACCTTCATTAATCAGCACTAAAAAAACAACCCAAGATTCATATTTTTCTGCCTTTTTATTCTTTCTTTTTTTTTTCCTAGAAAAATTTCAGCTTACTGACCTTTGGGCTTTGGGTTAGAGTTTTAATTTTTAAGAATGAAATGGTTTCATTGTGGCGGACTGCGTTACAGCTACCTATTTTTCAAATCTTTGCTTTTGCTTCAGCTATGTCACATCTTATCTTCAGATAGTTTATATTATTTATCGATTTGTAAGGAGGGGGGCCTACCTTAATACATATGAAGACGAAGTCTTCCATAGCTGGATCAAACACCATGGATGAAGATCTTGATATGGATGCACCACCCCCATGTAAGGATGTCAGCTTATCATAGCAATGTATGTCTAGAGTATCGCCTCTGCTACTTATGTCCATGGCATCACCTTTGCTACTTATGTCCAAAGCATCGCCTTTGCTGCTTATACATTCAGAGCATCGCCTATGCTGCTTATACATTTAGAGCATCGTCTCTGCTACTTTTGCCTAGATCATTGTCTCTGATACTTATGCATCCAGAGTATCACCTCTGCTACCTAAACATCCAGTGCATCGCCTCTGCTACTTATACATTCAGAGCATCGACTTTGCTACCTATGTCTAGAGCATCACCTCTGCTACTTATATATTCAGAGCATTGCCTTTGCAATATGTCCAGAAAATCTCCTCTGCTACTTTTGTCTAGAGCATTACCTCTGTAACTTATACATTTAGAGCATCGCCTCTGTTACTTATACATTCAGAGTATCGTCTCTGCTTCAACTCATCACAGCTACTTACATTCACAACATTGCATCTTCATGAGTTTATCACAGCTTCTTATATATTCAGTCTCGTCTTTGCATCAGCTTCATGCCAGTTGCTTATCTTTAGAGACTCGCCTATTCTCACAAGTCTATACATTATATGAATATCCATACCTGGATTTAGGGGACTATTGTGATACTAATATCTTAGTATTATTATATTATTACTGCTAGTATATGCTTTATATTATTGCTGCCGCGTACGCATGCATAACATGCTAGCATGCCACATCATTGCTAGCATGTTACGCATGCCACGTTATCTGCATTATCATGTTACTTACTTCAAATTAGCAATATTATTACACTAAGCTGTGCAAGCATATGATCTACTATGATGATGATAGACCATATGTACATTTTATTTTGGAGAGATTTAAACATCAATATTTCTCTTTATTATTATTATTATTTGGAAGGGCAAATGGATCCTAATTTATTTTATATATATGCGGTGGAGATATTATCTTGTATTACAGGTTGATTAACTCCATATTACAAATGAGATGATGTCGAAATTTCAACAAATTATATGCAATATCTATCTTTCGAGGCAATCTGTAAGCTCTCACTTATTCATGCTTGCACATATAATTTCGAGGTAATTTTTAAGTCCTCATATATTGGAGCAGCTTATGTTCACGAGGCAATTCGTAAGTCCTCACATGTTTAGGATCGATGCATATTTTCGAGGTAGTTTATAAGTCTTTGCCTATTGGAGTTACTCATATTTCTGAGGCTATGTATAAGACCTGACCTACTTGAATACTTGTATTTCGAAGTCCAATCCGCACATGTACGACTCAAACTTGGGAGACTATTGTTACACCTATAAATTACATGGCATGCACATAACAGTGATGTCCCACATATGTCGATTTGGCATCAGTTATTCAATTAGGACATGTTTAATTATGCTACATTGTAATTGGCATAAGCTCGATCCATTGACCACTTGGCCTATTTTCATTTCTCTATATATACGTGACTTCACTTCATAAAAGGTATGTATTATAACGGTAGCCAAACCCCATTTCTCGTCACTTACACTCTTTATATTTTGTACGGTAGTTGACTTGACCGTCGAAGTGCAAACGGTCGCCGAACCTTTTTCTCGATCGACAGCCTTTGCCTCCTAAAAAAGTGTTCTAGTGTGCATATGATGTCTACATGGAGGGAAAGTGGTCGAAATTCTGTTGACGTATTTTTTGAGGCCAAAAGATTCCAATCTCATGCCATTATAGGTTCAATTAAATTAATCATATAATTTCACCTTTAATTGAATCAATCAAATAATGTCACTAGACTATTGTTGTAGTTAGGGCTAGGCATGGGTTGGGTTGGGTTGGATTGGTTTTAAGTTCAACCCAAACCCAACTAAACATGTTTGGTTTGACAATAATTCAAACCGAAATCAATTCATTCATAGTTGAAACCCAACCCAATCCAAACCGACCAAACTCGGGTAGGTTTGTGATTGGTTGCTTGGTTTGGACTTAAAGTTCAATTCAAGTTGACCATTTTAATCTACGTTACTCGTTCTATTTCCAAACATCTTCCAAATTTTGAATTTAACTCGTTTCGGCTCTCGAGCCCTTCACAAAACTTGAACATTGGCTTGTCAACTTCACCCATTTAAACTCCATTGCTTGAACTCTTGACTCGTGTGACCCGACCAAGTGATTACCTGTCCCGGATCATATCAT